AAAAATTAAGTTAATTACATTCTTTCGAGGGATAATTTTTATGTTTGGCCAGCAGTATAAGAGAAGCCTCATTCGCAGTATTTTGGATGTGAATTTCTATTTAACTCAAATCCACATCCATCGCTCATGTGCTGCAATAATGGCACAACTCAAGAAACACGCGTTTTGGACTAAGAACAGGTGTAAATAAGAAAATGCACATCCTTTTCAGCAGCAATACTAGCACACTCATAATTCAACTTGAAGATAATTTTCGTTTAAGCAAACTAAAGCATTTCTTATGCATTTTCCTTAGCAATGAAAACTTTAAACCCACTTATCTCAAAACATTTTTTTTTTTGAGTTGTGCCGCTATTGCCGCCCATGAGCAATATGCTAACGTCAAGTTGTATATGCCAACATCAAAACAACTTTCAGGTTAGAGTATTTTCATTCAGTTAGCGCTAGCTTTGTTAGCACGGTATTCTGAATAAAATTTTATTCAAATTTAAAACTGTACATTATATGATAATATGTCTGTTTTTTATCTGTTAGAAGAACAAAGTTTATTATATTATTTGGGGGGATAATTTTGGTGTTGACTTAAAAGAGCCAGAAAATCTTCATTCGTAGTATTGTAGATACGACATTCTATTTGGCTTAGAATTACCTATGATCGTAGTATTTTAGAACGATAATCCATAGTATTTTAGATATCACTTACGAAAAACCGCATGAACAAATAATGTACTAATATGTAGTTTTATATGAAATCAAAACAGCTCTAGGGTCTATATTTTCATCCAGTGCACGCTAACATCGTAGTATTTTAGATGTCACGTTTTATTTAACCAAAAACCACATGAATAAATAATCTACTAATTTCAAGTTGTATATGAAATCCAAACGAATTCTAAGGTCTATATTTTCATTCAATACACGCTAACATCGTGGTATTTTAAATGTCACTTTCTATTTAACCAAAATCCACATGAATAAATAATGTACCAATTTCAAGTTGCATTTGAAATCTAACTTCGAGGGTCTATATTTTCATTCAGTACGCGCTAGCATCGTAGTATTTTACATGTCCCCTTCTATTTAACCAAAATCCACATGAATAATATATTAATTTCAAGTTGCAATTGAAAATAAAAACAACTTCTTCAGTACACCTTCATTCCGTACGAGATAGTTTTGTTAGCAAAGTAATCTGCTCATAAATTTTTAAGTTAATTAATGAAACAGTAAAGGTCTTAAGAATTGCTTTTGTGGAATTTAAGAAGTAGTTGTTGAGAATTTGAAGAAAAATTATATATTTTGAGCTGTAATAACATAACAATAAATTACATTGGGGAAAAAAATTGTTGCTATTTATACTAATAGTATTAGTTAATATTGCCTAATTAGTTCGTGGAGATTGCTCCGATACCTACAGATTATATTTAGTCTATTGTTGTCGAAATGTACAAGTTAAAGAAAATTATATATAAGTGTAATGTAACGTTATATGTAACGTAAATGTTGAGACAAACTTCTAGAGCAATTTTATTATTTAAGATCCAAACTCAAAAAACTCATGCAACAGAAAAAATAAACCTGTTCGTTTTATTCTTATATGCAGAAAAGCACTCTCATTTAATTTTACTCTGAACAAAATATATTTCAAATTTAAAACTGCACATTATGTGATGTCTATTTTTAACTGTCAGAAAAAGATGAAGTTAATTACATTCTTTCGGGGAATAATTTTCGCGCTGGCTTNTTCAGTAAGAACTGCAACAATCGCTCTTAAGTACTGCAATAAAATAGCAGATTCATGTCATTTTGAAATTTTTTTTAGACAAAATGTTCTTGAATTCATAGTCCAAATTTTAAGGTTAATAAAAACTTTTTATTTGCAAAATAATTTAGAAGCAGGCAATTTACAAGTTAAATGACAAGGCTGACAGGAAGGATGCTTTTATTGAAAGACAATTATTGAATATTTAGAATATAGAAATTTTTTTTTTTAATCTGATTGTCTAATAATAATCTTTGAAACGAAAAATACTGAATAAAATTTACTTTTATTTTATCTCTAAATTGTATGCAAAATTTGTTATACAATTTGAAATTTCTGATGTGAACCTCAGGTTTCTACCTACGTGAAATACCTGGCATATTCTAAAGAGTTTGCCTGAGGGGTATCAGGCCAGTATCGATTTTGGTTGTTTCACATTTGAGCACTCACTGTAATGTTATGCTATGCTTATTGTTTTCCTGTTTATACTTTTCATTTCCGATTCTACATTTCGTCACAAAAAAAATTTTCTTTGTATATATTTTGGACCATGGATTCAGATACACTGTATACATCTACTAAATAATTTCGTCTTCTTTTTTTCATTAGTTTTATTAGATTTAATTAGTTTCATCAGATTTAGTTAGTCCTCTCACGGGTAAAATACTCTCCACATCTTCTGTCCGCTAATCCAGCTCATATTTAGGGCTTAACACAACGAATGAACAGTTTACATAATTGTTTGTATCATAACTCTTATCGATATTTTCACACAATGCATAATATATTTTTATTATATTTTTTTATAACTGTCGTTGAACAGCTGACCCAATTTTCGGGTTTATGACTACTAATGTTCAATTACGTAGTCTTGTAATTTTGAACCCAATCCAGAAGACAGGGGACTCTTGGATCAAGTATTGGGAGAAATTTGCCTTCGAGGAGGACTTTCTTGATGAAACTAACCAGCATTTGCGATACATGGAGAGGAAGACCACGAGAATCTCCCACTGTTAGTCTGACAGCAATTGGACTCTAACTCATGATCCGTCTACTACTGAGGATATTTCACTTCAGCACTGTGGTCTGCGCAAGCTGGATGCGGAATTCGTATCCATAGCCGGGGTTCGAACCCGGTTCACCTCGTTGGAAGGCGAACGCTCTATTCTCTGAGCCACCGCTGCTCTATTCCACTTGTTTGGTAAATAAGTTTCGCCATATCTCTGGAAGTTTTTCATAGAATTAAAAAAAATTAGCAATTATTAAATTAGTTTGTCTAAATATAATTTTATGCAAAATGTAACTTTTGATGTTTCTCTTAGCTGTTTTAATTTAATGATGGTAGAAAAATTTCAAAATTTTGAAAGTAGGGAAAGTTTTTGTATTATATATTATATATTTATTATATATTATTTTTGTATTATATATTATATATTTATTATATATTATTTTTGTATTATATATTATTTTAAATGAAAATTTACAAAATTAGAACTAAATCAATTGTGAAATGAAAGTTTAATAACAGGGCTTTTTTAAAATTTTTATTATTCAAAAACATTTCGACCGATTTTGTTCAAATAGGACGAATTTAAGGTTAGTTTTACTCTTGTATGCATTTGAAACTATGCATAGTTTAATTTTTTTAATTGCATGAATTATTTAGTAAATATGCATTTTCTGTAACTAATGCATATATTTATTTTTTTTACTTCTACATACCTTCTTAAACCTATATTCAATTTTTTAAACTCTCGTAGGAGTTTGCTCATAAAATATAATATCCAAGTAGCTAATATATTTTAAAATTCTTTATTCTTTGATCCCAAATCCTCTAATGACACAAAAAGCAAAGAAATATAATTCTACAAAAAGACCCAACAATGAATATACCCAACTGCATCTCTTTCGCAAAAAATAACATAACATAAATACTTTAGTAACTTAGCTCCCAAATGCTTCAGTATCGTGCTTATCGATTAACAAAGCACTTCCAAAATTTAATAAACTGTTTATTTACAATTAATAATAAAGAATAGTTCTTTTAATCCTTTATTTTAATTTGCTTCCTGATTGCGATGATAAAAACATAGCAGCACTCTCAGAAATTTCTAAGAAAAAACGGTTAATTAAAAATTTATTTAATTGGCATTTTAACATATTCAAACAAAATAGTCAAATAGCAATTAATAAGATGGTATTCAAACTGGCTGAATTTGATTTTATTTCTATTTTATAACCATTGTTGATTAGCCGACATGATTCGTCTACCACTGAGGATATTTCACGTTAGCACTGTGGTCGGTGCAAGTCGGATGCGGAATTCGTATCAACCAGCCATCGCTAGGATTCGAGCGCGGTTCACCTCATTGGAAGGCGAACGCTCTATCCTCTGGGCCATCGCTGCTCAGCAGTGAACAATTGATCATAAGCAGGAATTTTCTAAGGAAATTTATTAAGTATAAATTGCATATTTTTTCGCCATAGCAGTAAGAAAAAATCATTCTGATATGTAGCAAGATGTTCTTAGTTACGAACAAAGCATGCAGAAATTTACTTCATATGAAAGTATGTCTGTCTTTCAACTATCAAAAAAAGTGAAATTAATTACATTCTTTCGGAGAATAATTTTCACGTTGGCCTAGAAGTAACAGGCAAACCTCATTCACAGTATCTAAAATGAGAATTTCTATTTAACCCATATCCATATTAATACGCTGGCTAGCACGGTAATATGAATAAAATATACTTAATATTCAAAAACATTATATTTTAGGGTAATATGTCTGTCTTTTAACAGTCAGAAGAAAAAAATTAAGCTAATTACATTCCTTCGAGGGATAATTTTTACGTTAGGCCAGAAGTATAAGAGAAGCCTCATTCAAAGTATTTTGGATGTGAATTTCTATTTAACTTAAATCCGCATGAATAATATCGCTCATGGGCTGCAATAGTGGCACAACTCAAAAAACACGCGTTTTGGACTAAGAACAGGTGTAAATAGGAAAATGCACATTCCTTTCAGCAGCATTACTAGCACACTCATAATTCAACTTTAAGGTAATCTTCGTTCAAGCAAACTAAAGCATTTCTTATGCATTTTCCTTAGGAATGAAAACTTTGAACCCACTTATCTCAAAACATGATTTTTTGTGCTGTGTCGCTATTGCAGCCCATGAGCGATATGCTAATATCAAGTTGAACTTGAAATCGAAACAACTTTTAGTGTAGAGTATTTTCATTCAGTAGGAGCTAGCTTTGTTAGCACGGTATTCTGAATAAAATTTAATTCAAATTTAAAACTGTACATTATATGATAATATTTCTGTCTTTTATCTGTTAGAAAAAAAAGTTAATTATATTCTTCAGGGGGATAATTTTTGTGCTAGCTTAAAAGCTAGCTTCATTCGTAGTATTGCAGATACGACATTCTATTTGGCTTAGAATTACCTATGATCGTAATATTTTAGAACGATAATTCGTAGCATTTTAGATGTCACTTTCTATTCAACCCAAATCAGCATGAATAAATAATGTACTAATTTCAAGTTATTGTATATGAAATCTAAACAACTTCGAGGGTCTATTTTCATTCAGTACGCGCTAACATCGTAGTATTTTAGATGTCCCCTTCTATTTAACCAAAATCCGCATGAATAAGTAATGTACTAATTTCAAGTTTCATATGAAATCTAAACAACTTCGAGGGTCTATATTTTCATTCAGTACGAGCTAACATAGTTGTATTTTGGATGTAACTTTCAATTCAACCAAAATCCACATGAATAATATGCTAATTTCAAGTTGCAATTGAAAATAAAAACAACTTCCTGAGTACACTTTCATTCCGTACGAGATAGTTTTGTTAACAAGGTAATCTGCTTATAAATTTTTAAGTTAATTAATATGTTAATGAAACAGTAAAGGTCCTAAGAATTGCTTTTGTGGAATTGAAAATGTATTTGTTAAGAATTTGAAGAAAAATTACATATTTTGAGCTGTAATAACATAACAATAAATTACATTGGGGAACAAAATTTTTGTTGCAATTTATACTAATAGTATTAGTTGATATTGCCTAATTAGTTTGTGGAGATTGCTCCGATAGCTACAGATTATATTTAGTCTATTGATATCGAAATGTACAAGTTAAAGAAAATTATATATAAGTGTAATGTAACGTTATATGTAACGTAAATGTTGAGACAAACTTCTAGAGCAATTTTAATTCTTCATCAGGATTAAAATTACGTGATGCACGATCACGTGTAACTCCCTATTGTGACCACACGAAGAAACAGTTCATAGCAGGGAGGTGACCCTAGTCGCCGCTTACGACGATATTTACGGGTTTTACTTCTTATGCAACTTTAATCCTGGTGATGCTGTTGACGTATGCCTGTTTAGGCAGAGGGGGTGCGATTGTTCTTGCTTTCCAGTGGCGCCATCTATGGCCAAGAATTCGACTTCTGCAAAACCATACGTCACACCCATTTATAGGGCGGACCCATTCGTACATCCATTCATTCATCCACAGATCGTAATTTTGACCTGAATCAGAGAACGATCGATCTCCAATCCAGTACCCCCAGAGGTATTGATTTGTAATGGGAACATGGAGGACTTTTGCGACTCAACAGATTTAACGTGCATCAGTCACTTTACTACACGGGGAGTTTTCGGCCTTCAGGGTTCGAACCCACGAACTCTCGGACATGGGCCCAGCGTCCTACCGACCAGGCTATCCCGACCGAACAGGCAATCCTGGTGATCTGCAACGTTTTTAAACTTGTACATTTTGGAAAAAAATAGGCTAAAAATGGGCAAAAAAGGCTGAAAATGATATTTTAAAAAACTATAGCTTGAAAAGAGAAACCTATTGGAGATTAGAAGTCTGCGATGAGAAAATATTTAAGATCCAAACTCAAAAAACTCATGCAACAGAAAAAATAAACCTGGTCGTTTTATTCTTATATGCAGAAAAGCACTCTCATTTAATTTTACTCTGAACAAAATATATTTCAAATTTAAAACTGCACATTATGTGATGTCTATTTTTAACTGTCAGAAAAAGATGAAGTTAATTACATTCTTTCGGGGAATAATTTTCGCGCTGGCTTGGAAGTTATAGAGAATTCGTAGTATTCAAGACGTGACATTCTATTTGACCGAAATCCACATGAATAATATGCTAATTTGAAGCTGTACTTTAAAACCAAAACAACTTCCTGAGTTGGATATTTTCATCCGGTAAGCGTTCGCTTTGTTACCAAAGTAATCTACTAATAGAGTTTTAAGTTAATTAGGTGTGTAGTATCTTAATGCAACGGCACAGATTTTGAGAACTACTTTAATGAAATATAAAAGCACGTTGTCAAACTTTTGCTATTTTTGATACCATATTGTGCACGAAATTATATTTAGATATCGATTTTTTTTTTAAATTCTTCATTTATATGTATATAGATTTAGATTAATTTCTATTTGAAATTCGCATGTTTTACAATAATTTAGAAAATTAAAATTTCGATTAATGGAATCTTGTATTTTTTACTTAAATTTGGAAAATAATGATTTCGATATGAATTAAGTATACAATGGAATAATTTTTAGCTTAAAAATTCACACGGATACAAAATGCTTTATTTATGCCAAAAAATCACCAATAAGAGATAAAAAATCAAAAATCACCAATAAGAGATAAAAACCCAAAATATCATAACCCAATATATCATAAATCCAAAATGCCTAACCTAAAATATCATAAAAATTTATAAAATTGAGGAGCACATTTTTAATCTTCAAACTAGATGATGCATTTTTGTGAATTTTTTTCTTGACAGCTTAAAAAGCATATTCAAAACGTTTTGGACTTTTTACACCAATATATATTTGCAGACATTTGTTGATTAGAAAATTGGAAGAATTAATAAACAAAATTTTAAGATTTCATAAAACCAAATATTAAAACGGATCAGTATATTTTACTTATGAAAAAGTATTGTTGCACCATTTTGATTTTGCTTAACTTTGTCTACATTTTTTTTATTTACTTAGCTTGCTTGGTTATCAAGACCAAGTCTTATTACAATTAGTCTTGTCGGAGAATTGCAGAAAAAGTGGAAAAACCAACGCGAAAAAGAAATCTAGAGAAATAACCACACTGTGTGGTAAAGACAATTCGGGTATAAAAAAACAATATAATTCTGGTTAATAAAACCAAAATATTATCAAAATATAATTAAAATATTAATCTGGTATTAAAACCATTCATTTGCTAATTTTTTTGTTCTCATGTTAATGGTTTATCAAAAATTCTGGTTTTCTAAATTATAGTTCGTATTACCAAACACTTGTAAGAAATACAAAACTGGGAAGTAAATTTAACCGAATAAATAGTTTTAAGCCATGATCTAAGGTAACGTGATAAAATTACCATATTTCAATATATTTACCAAATTTTATCTTAAATTATAAAACGATACTTTATTGTTAATTTCACCAGCCTCATTACCAAATCACTTCGCTAAAAATCACAGCTAGTTGTTTTTTGTGTTCCCACAGAGCTGGAAACAAGGTAAATTTTACCATATTCTGGTAGTTTTGACCATACTTTATATTCATAAATATGTATTTTACAAAATTTTTCTAATACTTTTGTCTGATCCGGGGCTGCACAGGAGATAGAGCGTTTACCTTCTAATGAGGTGAACCGAGTTCGAATCCCAGCGATGGTTGGTCGATTCGAATTCTGCACCCGACTCGCACTGACCACAGCGCTGACATAAAATATCATCAGAGGTAGACGGATCATGGGTTGCCGGAATAAAAAGATTTCATTAAGAGAAATAGATTTCCAGTGAACAACAAAAGTGTCTTATTTTGTGTTTTTACTGAGTGCGTGTTTCAGTATTTTAGCTTTTGATTATTATATTATAATTTTTGTCAAATTGCTTTGAATAAAATAAATAAATAGAATCCTACAGACTTCTTATTAAAACACAGTATTTACCATTTTCAAGGTGCATGATAAATTTGAAACTATGCTCTAACGAGTTTCAACTTCTGGACACAAACATTTGGTCTTTTTTTTATTCGCCCAGAGGCTCTAATTGGAGAATTCAATTGACTTCACATGATTATTTTTTCTAATAGACTCGATATATCTGAATCAACAATTATGGTAGTACTTAGTCCTTTTCATGGAGATATATATGTTTGTAGATGCCTCTAAGTAAAGAAAAACTTATTGAGTTATCCTGTGATAGCATACTGAAAGCTGCGTCTGGAGATAATCTTTTTTTATTAATTATTGGCTTTGTATTTCAAATCAATATTTTCTTCTGTCAAATGTTTTCTTTATTATGTTTTCACGGCTTTACAAGCTTTTCTTTATTATTCTGAAAGTAAGATTTCCTTAGAATTATTAATATTGTTACGTAGTAGAACGAGCTTACAAATTATCATAATAATTAACATGTCTTACAAATAAATAATCATGACATAACTGACCATAATCTAATAACATAAATAATTATAACATCAAAATACAAATAACCATGATATAGTAACATACTTAAATTTTATTAATTACTGTACCCTGTTCCTATAGATTAGTTCCCTGTAAAAAGTACGATTAGTTTGTCTTTGATGTAGAGAGTCATTTAAAGTTATTGATTATCCATTCTTTATCGCATGGTTAGGATATAATTATGGATTTTACAGCACTTTTCCTTGGATAATATCCATATAAAAAGTTAAATGCTCAAATTCCTTATGGATTCTGGAATGCACACACAAAAAAAAACTCCACTGGCCCAAAAAATAATAAAAATTTTAAATACTCACCCTGGTGGATTCCTGAACGTCTATGCACTGGACCACGTACAGAGTGTAAAAAATACGGACAGCTCTAATAATCACCATGGTCTAGGGTCTAATCTTAAAGGTTCAAGAAAGAGACCTCAAATATGATAATTTACACGTTGAATGCCATGGGAGTCACCGGTGACCGGCACTGAGCTTGTTCGTAGTGCCGCGAGGTGACCCCCGTGTGACCGGCGAATCCAAAATTATTAGAAACACATAATTCGAGTAAATTTTTAATGCTTTTAATTTTTTTATATTATTATAGTTACTGAAATGGTTTGAAGAAATTAATGCAATACATAGGGGAGAGTGGTGTCAATTGTAACATTTTTTACTTAACTATTTTTAACTAACAAAAAATCCAATATATTATTAGTATTAATTGACAGACGAGTAAAGTAGACT